CTGGCTACTTCTGTTTTCTGACAGCGTCGAATTAGAGTCGCGTTCTGATCGGCTTGACAGCGCAACAAACCTCTAACACCTCCCTTTTCAGAGCCTCGTTCTCTGCTCGTAGCGCCTCTATTTCGGCCAATAGATCTGCTCTAGATATGCCGCCTTCATTTCCATTTGATGTGGGAGCCTTTGACTTTTTAACAGTAGGCGCGGCTTGTGGCTCAAGTGAGGTTTGGTTCGAAACGGAAGGAAGGCGCCCCTTGCGCTTAGGAATTGAAGAAATGCTAGGTTGCGAAGGAGGTGCAGGGGTTTCTACAAGCTATGGAGGTCATTCACGCTAAAAATCGCGAAACAGTCTTTAAGACCTACCTTCCACCACTTCAACCTCGGACCCGTTGGACATCGCGCTTTTCAGGCAAGATACAGTCACGTGACTCAACGGTACTCTGCACGTGGCCCTAACAGTGATCGCCGGTGGTGGACGGCCGCGTTTATTTCTGAGCTGACGCTGACTACCATGACGATTCGATATACTTCTACGAGTAGTACACGCCAAATCACGCTTCCTACATATACAACCGACTTATATAACTGTCACTCAAAAAGCCAAATTAACCACGTGCTTCGCTGATCATATCTAGTTTGGCAATCTCAAATTTGCCCAATTGCATAACTTTCATCTCTACTCCCACCCCTCTCTCAGACTCATGTGTGGAATCCTTGGGCTATTGCTGAGCAACCCTAATGGGCACGCAGCTACCGAAATATGTGAAGGACTGAGTCTGCTACAGCATCGAGGGCAAGATGCCTGTGGGATCGTTACCTGCGGTCGCGGGGGTAGATTCTATCAGTGCAAGGCAAACGGTATGGTCCGCGACGTCTTTGACGCAAAGAGCGTTGATACACTTCTTGGTGGCATGGGTGTTGGGCATGGTCAGTTGGTCATATCCAAACCTCGAGTCTCAGTGCTCATTGATTTGCTGTATGCAGTTCGCTATCCTACTGCTGGCTCGTCGGCGCACGCCGAAGCTCAGCCGTTCTACGTCAACTCTCCCTATGGAATAGTATTCGCACATGTACGTATCCTACATCTCTTTTATCTGTTGGTAAAGTTCTGAGTATCCTCCTTAGAACGGGAACCTCATCAATACTCCCGAGCTCAAACATTTCCTTGACGCTGATGCTCACCGGCACATTAATACCAACTCCGACTCCGAAGTTCTCCTGAACATATTTGCAAACAACCTCCAGAAAACGAACAAATTTCGCATCAACGAGGAAGATATCTTCACCGCCATTGGTGATCTCATGCACGAGACCCATGGTGCATACGCCTGTGTAGCGATGCTCGCTGGTTTCGGCATTATCGCTTTTCGTGACCCTAACGGCATCCGCCCGATCGGCGTCGCTCGCCGCGGTAACGACTGGATTGTTGCCAGTGAAAGCGTTGTTGCCGACGCAGCAGGGTTCACCGACTGGACGGATGTTCGTCCAGGCGAAGCCATAATCCTCACACGCCACTCCGAAACTCGCCGGTTGGTCGGTCCGGACCCCTCTCACACCCCTTTTGCGCCTGATATCTTCGAGTATGTTTATCTCGCTCGGCCGGATTCGGTATTGGACGGGATTAGTGTCTATCGTTCGAGAATGGCCATGGGGGATGCGTTGGCAGCGGAGGTTCGTCGGGTACTGGACGAGAAGCAGATTGAAGTAGACGTTGTTATCCCTGTCCCCGATACGTCGCGCGTTGCAGCACTTGAACTTGCTCAGGTGCTCAAGTTGCCGTACCGCGAGGGATTCGTGAAGAACAGATACGTTGGCAGGACATTTATTATGCCTGGACAAAAAGAAAGAAGGAAAAACGTGAGGAGAAAGCTGAATGCGATGGCGCTGGAGTTTGCAGGGAAGAATGTATTATTGGTTGATGGTACGTATAATCGTACATCCGTGCAGGTAGTATGCTGACGCCACGATGCACATCCGATAGACTCCATTGTGAGGGGAACTACTTCCAAAGAGATTGTGCAAATGGCCAAGGACGTAGGCGCAAAAAAAGTCATATTTGCATCATGTGCACCTCCAATCAGGTAAGATATACTGCTGTTCAACGGGTTCAGAAACTTATCTCCACTCAGACATTCAAACGTGTACGGGATAGACATGCCTTCACGTACAGAACTTGTTGCATACAACCGCACGCCGGACCTTGTCGCTTCGGCCATTGGGGCCGATCTTGTTATCTACCAGACTCTTCCGGACCTCGTCTCTGCGGTCCGACAACTCAATCCATCCATCAACCAGTTCGACTGTAGCGTGTTTACGGGAGAATATGTTACTGGCGGCGTAAGCGAGGAATATTTGGAGGGGCTTGAGAAGCTTAGGAATGATGCAGCAAAAGGAAAGCCTTTGGAGGAGGCTGTACCGAGTGGAGAGGCTGGCAGTGGTGCTGAAGCTGCCGGATCTAGCGTAGGCCGAGTAAACGGTACCAAGGAGCAGAAAGAGGTCGCAATCGGATGCAGCGGCCCACTGAACGGAGCGGATGAGACGATTGGATTGCACAATAGCTGGGCGAAGCCGGCCCAGGACGGCGTTACGACTTTTTCATAGCCTCTAGAACCTTTCTCTCCGTATTTGCGCTGTATTATCTTTTGGGAGCTGTTTGTATGCATAGAATTTCTAGTCATAGATTTTGCGAAACTAAGTAACGATGGATTCATAAGCGCTGGGCGGTTGGGTGAGAGTCGAGTTTCTGGACTTGAAGATGCCCACTGCGACGACACCTGTTCCTGTCCCCTCACTCGCGGAAGAGTCTGAGCTTCGTAAAGCGCGCCTCCTTGCACTTAGGAAGAAGAAACTTGGTGACAATACTGATATTCCTGGGTAAGTTCCTCGTGCTTTCGCTCCTGGTACGCGATGTTGAATTCGTACATGTGGCAGCCTTCCTCAGATAAAAGAACGAAATTTCGATACTACCGCCCGGAAAGTTAAGAAAAAGAAAGATGTGGGCGAGGAGGAGGATACGGTTGAGAAGCAGATCGCTGGGCTGGCAGACTTGATTATTGCGGATGATGAGGATAAAAGGAATGAAGATTTGGTACGTATTTTCGCTTGTCAGTTGCTTAGAATACTACTGACCGAGGGCTCTCGTGGCTTAGGACTTGCTAAACATAGCTCCTAAACGGCCAAACTGGGATCTTAAACGGGACTTAGACAAGAAGCTGGTGAAGCTGGAGAGGCAGACACAACGTGCGATACATACGCTCATTCGTGCGTGCGGGTTATGTCAAACTGCTTTCGCAGAGCACTGACGGTTCTGTAGGACAACGACTTTCCGCCCAAAAAGAGGTCCCGACGGACCTTGCTGCCACATTGAGCGCTGCTGAGAAGGCGAATGATGAGGAAGTTGCAGGAGACGATGAGTCTGACGAGGAGTAGTATAATATTGTGGGTATAGCCATACTCCTAGTTCTAATCGCTCCAACCCACAATCCATTCATCTCCAAAAAGACGCCTGGTTTTTGCTTCAAAGCATGTCTTGCTCAGGCATGTAATTAGCTCAACGTTGTACGGTTTTCTGAGTTTGGTGCTCGTGGATCACGTCCGCGATGTTTTGTATTGTATTACCAGCTTATAATCTGCACGCGTTTTGCCTCACAGCCCATGTCCTGCCACTCTGCAACTTGTTCGCAAACACTACGATCCAACTCAAGAGAGTGAATTATAAATGAAGGTACTAGACAAAGCAGTCGAATAAAAACGTCCACACCAAAACACCAAAAGTCCAATGCAAATATGCTTTTAGAATGCAACAGCACCAAGGAGAGCAGCAGCACCCAACATTCCCCACTCAACAACGCGGCCAGAAGCAGCGTTAGGGGAACCGGAACCGGCAGGGCTCGTAGCAGTGGCAGTGGACGAGCCAGTGCGGCTGCCAGTTGCACTACCCGAAGCAGACGAGGGAACGCTCAGAGTCGCAGTGTCGACGGCCGAGGTCTGAGATACGCTCGCAGTGGCAGTACCCTGCTCAACGGTGATATAGGTGCCGGCAACGATATTGCCAAGTCCTGCGCTCTTGACATAGTCCTCAAAGTTAAACTTCTCAATTGGCGAGCCAGCGGCAGGCGCAGCTGGGGCGGTGAAGCCGCTTGGCTGTGTAAGAACGAGGAGCATGTAGCGGTGAGCGCCGGAACCAGCGGCCGGGAAAGGACCACCGTAGGCAGTAATGTTGGTGCCCGCGCCAGTATCAAGTGTCCAAGGGGCAGAGGAGCCTAGAAAGCAAGATGTCAGTATTCTATTCCTGTAGATATAAGCAGGACTCACCAGTGGCCTTGACGCCATTAACAAGCCAGTGGCGGGTTTGACCCTCGGCTTGGCTGGCGCCAACAGTGTCAGCGTCAATCATGGCAACGGTGTAGGTGCCGCTGGCGGTCACGTCCGGAGAGTCGTTGACAGGGGTCAGCTGGAGCTTAGGCTGGGGCTTAACGGCTGGAGTACGAGTAGAGGTTAGATTAATAAAACTGGAGTATCATGTATTTACCATCAACAGTCTGAGGCTTGCCGGCGTCAATCGCGCTCGAGCCATAGGTGACAGTGAGTAGAGCGGACGGGCTGAAGGTCGTAATGGGGCTAACAAACATCAGGTATGTAAGTCATCTGTACTGGAAGAAAAACGCGTAACAGGTATTCTTACTCGGGAGTCAGGCCGGCATTCTTGAACTGGGCGATGATCGACTGCAGCCCGACAGCATTATTCTGAGCATATGCAAAGGGAGCAATGGCAAGGGCCAAAAGAGTGGTAGTCTTGACGAACATGGTGGACAGTAAACGAGCAAAATACGGGAACTACTAAGAGCTAAAAAAGCGTATCGAGGACGAGTTGAAGGATGAAAACAGGGCTCGCTTGGCAGCCAGACTTTATATATATATTTGATCACGCGTGGATCAGAGCACTGCCACGCGCCAAGAGCCATGGCAAGGAACCCATAGCGTTATTGCAAACCGATTGCTTGAGCGGTATAGTGAAGTGGTTAACACGGGAGGTTTAAGTCTCCGTGATATATTTCTCCTGCCGAAAGGCGTCGTGGGTTCGAACCCCACTGCCGCTACGCTTTTGCCTCTATGTTCACGATGTATGTTGACGCTTCTCATGAGTCAGGATGTACTCTATGACCACATTTGCGCTTTAAGCATGTCATTCTGGGAAACACTAGACACCGAGGTAAATTGTGAGATTCGTTTATGAATCAGAGAACAAGGCAGAAACCGAATCGCGGCCTCCTGGGTTGTCGCGGACACGACGAGTGGGTTTGAAGAGGTTCTGAAACAAGTAGGGTCGTGTTAGATATGACCTTAAAATAAAAGCAACCAACTTGCCCCATCATTATCGACTACGCGATAGCCAGAGTCAGCCGGGGCTTGGGGCTGGGCCGCTTGAACTTGGGCTACAGGTGGAGCCGGTGCAGGAGCAGGTGGTGGCGCAACACGAGCAGCTGAAGCGGCTGGCTCATCGTCATCTCCAAAGCTGAAAGTTTGGGCGCCTCCAGGCGCAGTCCTTACGCGTCGAGTCGGTACCCAGTTCGGGTCAGATGGGTCAGCTGGAGCACGAGCCGCGGCTGGGGCGGCTGGGGCGGCTGGGGCGGCTTGGGTGGCGCTTGCCTCTCCAGGCGCCGCCGCCGCTGGTGCCTCGCCTGAAATCTTGCCAAACTCCGCGAAACCTTAATTAAACGCGTTAATTTACGCGTTTCATAAGTTTACAGTACCATCACTTACGAGGAATTTTAGAGAGTTGCGAAAAGTTGGTATCAACCGTCACCTGCATTGTAGAGAGCGTCAGAGACGCGTCTTTCGCGTAGAAAAGCCACTTACATCGACGTGCCTACCAACTCACGCCTTAGCGAACAATTGTGCAGTGATAGAACCTCAGCGGATACGCGAAACTCACTTCAGATAGTCGATCAAGGAACGCTTGGTAAACACAATCTTGGTGTCGTCCCAGTCCATCAAGCCTGTGTCCTAATCAGCTTCTGAGTCTATAGGCCGATAGCATAGTCGTACCAATCTTATAAGCCCAATCTTTTTCATTCTTGTCTACCACGGCGACGGGAGTATAGCTGTACGTAATAATAGTTGGTGCATATAACCATTATATTTCGCAGAGAACCTACGAAGCCATAGCTATGGAATCGCAAGAAACACATTAGCGTAGTACATTGGTATAAAAAGTGAGCGTACCAAGGGAATAGGGTTAGACAAATTCGGCGACAAAGGCTCTTGTGGTAGTCAAGCGCGCTTTAGGCAATGCACGGCCTAGTGGTCATGTGAGTGTGATTGGCTCTGTTTACGTGACCCAATCCGGCTAATCCTCCACCACTCAAGAAGACCTGACGACCACCTTACGCCTTAGCTTTTGTAACGTGCTACTGGTACTGCTAACCCGCCGAGTTTCTGCACTGGGTCGTAGAACTCGCCTTAGGGTATCTTTTTCAATTCTTCCTCCTTTATTTCGCATATCATCCTAGCCGATTCCCAGCCCTCCGCCAAGCTCGCATCTTACACTTGACAGGTGCATTTTGTTCGCTGGCGATCTTGCGTTTGCCTACTACATTTCTTTATTCTTGCGCCAACCAGCCCCAAACGCTCAGGGCCAACTTGATGTGCAACGTATGTGCTGGCCTAGTCAAGGTTTGAGGGCCGACGCTGACCATATTCTTATAATTCAGTGATAGTAACCCTCCGGAGCCATTTTGATTCGACAACTTTCTCCCGGCGTCCTATATTTCTCACTACAACAATTCACCCTAGTCTCTCAATATGGACTTGATCTTTGGTGGTCTGCGAAAGAGCCGCCCGCGGGAGTCGTCTGCCTCCCAGTCGGAGCTTAGCGAACACTCTATCCGATATGAACAAACTGCTCGAGACAGGCCGCCAGTCCCAGTAGGCACCGTTTCTCAGGCTTTGCGAGGCTCCACGTCGGGCTC